GCTCTGCTTCTCCAGGCCCTTTGCTGGCCTGAGGCAGGCATCACCTGTGTCCTGTCTACACCCCAGGCCAAGGGTGTAGCCTTAGTTGACTGGCTTTGGGAAAGGCAAGGGTCCTCATTGGTGTGGACAGATGCTGGCGGTCATGTGGACTACTGTTTCCCAAAATTCTGGAGCCAATCTGATTCACCTGGAATGAATACAAGACTAGGTTTTGCAGTCAGACGCAGGTGTGTCCCCTGCTAGCAATCTTACCTGGTCAAGACAGGTCAGTTTTTGGAGGCTCAGTCTCCCTGTCTGTAAAATGGAGTTGTGTGATAATCCTCACTCACAGCGAGGGTGTGGGGCTTAAATGAGATATGCGTGCATCTCAAAGCCTGGCATTCAGTAAATACTCAATAATTAATAATTTTGCAAGTGCTGATTGACAGCTGATGTTTATGGTGAGTTTAGCATGAGCTAGGCACTGGGCCAAATGATTGATCTGTTTTATCTCATTTCGTGCCATTATTATCCCTTTATACAGATAAGGAAATTGAAGCTCGGAAAGATACATGACTTATCCAAGATCACACTGCAAGTACGTGGCAGAAAAACCTGCCTTCGAACTCAGACCACAAGAGGGAACAGGGCTGGTCCTGAGTCCCAGGGCCAGACCCCAAGTCCTAGGAGATGGTTACACAGGTCTCATAAACACCTTGGTCCCTGCCATGCCGTATTCGCCTCGGTCGTCCCTCAGTCCTGGGGAGTGGCCTCCTGGCCCTTCTGCATGACGGGAATCCAGAAACCAAAGGTTCTAGAATATTCCGTTGACCCTCCTCCCTCCATTTGGTGTTATTTTGTTTTTCTGGTTCACTGGCAGAAAATCTCCCAGAAACCGGCTGCATTGGCAAAGGCTCCTGGCTGACCTGGCCTGAAGGGGCATTTCGCTGTGTACGCTGGGGGCGGGGTGCTGGGACGGCGGAGAGGGGGGTAGAGGGCTCCTGCACCTGTGCAACCCAAGGCCAGAAGGGGATGCAGTGTTTCCTTCCTGAGGTGCTCTGTGTGGCCTGCACCTGCCTACGATTCACTCCAGTGCTTGAGGGTACACACCAGCCTCCTTCGGCTGAAAGAAGCAGCCCTTTGACAGACCTGCCCTTCTGCCTTTCTAGTTGTCTCTCCCAGGCCTGGCCCCCCCTCCCACATCATTCTCCAAAAGGCGATGCTGTTCCCTGCTCCCAGGCCTTTGCCCTGCTGTTTCCTCTCCCTGGAATGCTGCTCCTCCGTCCTCCACCTGCCAGATGCTTCTCCTTCCACCTGTGACTCCTTCACAGTGAAGTCTTCCCAGAACACCCACTCCTGAGCCCCCCGACAGCTTTTCCCTCACCCTAGCCCCTCACTTAAGGTTGCCATAGCAACAGAGAGATCTGCCTCCAGAACTACCTCGTGCTCTAGACTCCAAGGCCCAGCTGGTGAGTTGACACCTCCACGTGAATGTAACGCAGGGTCCTCAAACTTCATGAAACGGAACCTCCCGTATCCCCTGCTGCAATCCCGGCCACGCCCACTAGTATCCTCATCTCAGAAATGGCTCCGCCCCTCACTCGGGCCCAAACCTGAAGGCATATGTGAGTCCCTGTTCCCTCGCCCCACACATCCCGTCCATCAGAAGTCCTGTCGACTAGACTGCCAAATACATCCCAAATCCCTGTTCTTGTCACCATCGTTTCAGCCACCACAATGGTGCAGGCAGCCACCATCCTCACCTGCCTGGACTGTGACAGTTCTCTCCTCCCTAGTCTCTTGGCGTCCAGCTTTGCTCTGGTCCACCCATCACGATCGGAGAAAACTTTGTAAAAGAAAATTAAGTCATGTCACACACTTCCTCAAAATTCTCTAGAACTCCCTATCCATCTTGGAATAAAATGCCTCCTCCTCAAACGTGGCCCATATGACCTTATAGGATCTGACCTTTGCCCACCTTCTTAACCTCGTCCCTACCCTCTTCCCTCACTAACTCTGCTACCGCCACACTTGCCTCCTCTCTGTTCCTGAACTAGCAAGTTCGTTCCCGTCCTTAGGCAGAAACTTTCTCTTCCCTTCACCCGAACCTTCTTCTGCCAGATATGTGTCTGGCTCACTGTCTTGCTTCATTCAGGTCTCTACTCAAATATCATCTCCGAGAAGATACCCGTGACCTAACATACTCCCCTCTATCTATCACCACCTATCCCTCTACCTACATTATTTTCCTTCATCGCGGCTGTTATTGTCTGACATAGTACATCTTATTCCTGGTACATTTTTTTGAATCTAGTTTGCTGCTAAATGTTTAACCGCTGGCTTTCTGCAAGGCGGGGAGCTCTGATGTTTACTTTTGCCAATTTCTGTGGTGTAAATACTCCCACCATGGTCCGTTTCAAGCTGGCAACATGACTTTGCTGAAAGCAGAGTTGGGAAGAGATTCACAGGGGCGCATGGTTCCACGCCATTTCTTTCCATACCATTCCATACCTCCTCATATAGTACATGATACAGTATGACACAGTAGATGTCACTGACCTCAAGAACATAGAAAATAGTAAAATCAGTAGAAAGGGATGAATTTTGAGTAGTTGTTACCTTTGTTTTTATTATACTCATTTAATCGTAAGTGCGTATAATTTAATT